GTAAACGGCCAGAAACGCCGACACCTCCTCATCTCCACCGCTCCCATGTTTTCTTTTGTGTTGCAATAAGTTAGTCTCTCTCCGTTGGTGCGCTGGGCTAATGCTAATAATGCTAATGCCACAAATACAATGGCGGCTTCACAAAGCTTTTCTGAGTATTACGGGGCGTGGTTTGCAATCCGCCCAGCCAATGGAACCTTTTTCTCCCCAGTATAGTCCCACCTCTCTAGCAGGGACTAAAAAGGGGTGAAAGTTCTCATGAACTAAGTTCTCTTTTTGGTGTGAACGCAAAATCCCAGGAACTAAACGGGAAAAGTACTCCGGTGTGAAAGCGCCTATAGACTTTCAATATGAAGGAGTTACCTGGTGGCCCAGTGCAGAGGAGTGGAGTTCAGGTCTCCTCCCAGCTGATCCACTACGCCTCCCTTAGATATGTAGTACCTAAACAAACAAAAAGCCATCATGTCAAACGTATATATACACTGCGAGTCTTTCTGATAAATCTCGTCTAGCTGTCGGCTGCATGGATAGATTACTGTATCCCAAGAACCATAACAAAAGAACGAAACAAAGTATGCAAAGCTAAATCATTTCCGGCAAAACAAAATCCCCAAAGTTGCAGCATGTCTTTAAAAAAGGAGGAGAAACATATCTGCAATTAATTCAACAATGGATTTCACTTCAGTACATTATCAAGAAACAAATACTTACTAAAGTGATCCAGTTAAAGCTTCTCATATGTATCTCATTGTTATGAATATATATCTGTGTTTTATAGGTAGTCGGACAATACAAGCAATTAGAAGACAAATCGCTCTGAGTAAGTTTCACGAGCATTCTTTTTCATTATCATTATTATTTGTTGATTACTTGAAAGAATAATGATTTATTGTTGCATTATTGTCCTACGAATGAGGACAGCTGTGCAGTGTGATAGGATGTTGCTGCTAGCGTTTTCATCTGATGGGTAACAGTACATCTAAAATATCTTCCAAAATAGCAAAACCACCCAACCACAAATCAGGTCTCTTTGGTTCTGTCACCACCAAACACTTGACATGATTGGACTCACTTGACCAGATCTATCCTGTTGTTGATGGCGGCCCAATGGAGAAGCGTTACGTTTTCTTTGTCTGGCTGCCGGACATCGAAGCCGGCCTCCACCAACTCCCTGCAGCGCTCGAAGATGCCGTACCTGAGGGAAGAAGAGCGATTTAAGTATCATCACACAACAAATATATGTGCAAACTAGGGAAGCTCAGATCGGGGTTTTTGGGGCCGATCGAAGGAATCAGTATCGGCCGATACCGATCAAGTGGGTGGGGCCTATGGGGATCTCCCATTTAAAGTGATGTTTAAAACTCAGTTAATGGGGCTCATTTTTATATAGCATGTGAGTATCGTCTCATGCAGCTCACTGATCCAGTAAGGAGTGACCCGACAGTGAAGAATAAATATATTTATAACTAGTTTAGCTTGTTCCAGAGGTAGATCAAATAGCTAAGTGTGTTAGGTCTAACTCTTACGATACGTCCACACAGCAGCGAAAAAAAATCTTGGAGGTGGGCGTGTCTGAAGCTTGGGGATTTTTGCGAACAACCAATCACATGAATCTCCCGCCCCCGACATACAAAGCAATAGCAATGTTAAAACGAAGTAAACTGGATATAAACTCTCCA